CAGATGTCCTTGGATGGGAGAAGCATTCTTAGACTGACTCAGTGAGGCCAATATCTCCTAGTTAGTGAGACAACCAACCCTTGGTTTCAATGACTTTTTGCCAGTGTCTCAACTCCATGTTCCCTCAGGTCAACTAACTCCAAATACGTGGTTTCATTTCTTTTTTTAAGTTTACTTGCCATTAAATACATTTTCTTTGCAATCTGATGTATATTTGCTATAGACACACACACACAAAATCAGCCATGTTATTTGGTGGAAGCTTTCTAAACTGAGTGACAGAACAGTATCCCCACCAAAGTTCGGGGTGACTAGGTGCTTCAGTTTGCTCATCCACAAAATGGGTGTCCTGCCAACTTCACATGTCTGCTGAGAATCAAGCGAGACACAAGTGCTTTGTTAACTGTAAAGTGCCACAGCTACACAAAATGAAGCTATTACCATTATATATGCGTGCCAGGAAAAATTAACTGTACTGTAGTATTTATCATATTTTTCCTTCCATTAATTTCAAGGACACACGGTCGTGTCCATTATCAACCTAAGTGGAAACTAGCAGGATTTTCAAGTGGATGAAATAAAATCAATGGCAATGAGATTCTATAGGTTATGAAAAATATTCATAATCCCCCAGTACATTAGCTAGTCAAATACATATATTGTTTTTTTTTCATTCTTGTACCCATCAATAGACTGAGTCAGCCTAACAACTGTGCCAATGTTCCGACCCTGCCCTCACCATTTACTTGCTGTGTGGCTTCAGAGAATTACTTAACTTTCCTGACCCTCAATTTTATCACCCACAAAATGGGCATTATAATAGCACCTACCTACCTAATAGCATTGTTATAACTATTAAATGTGTTAATACATACAAAGCATTCATACTGACACTTAAAACATTACTCTTTTAATGCACCTTCCTAGCATTTAGTACTGATAGGCATACAGCAGACGCTAACTTAATAAATCCTGGGTTCATGGACGTCATTAGAAAGTAGGATGGAAATGACTCAGGAAGTCATCTGGTCTGCTCCCAGATGACTTCATTTGAAGCAAGGTTATATTGAAACAATCGGGCCACCCCTTGCCTTGTCTATTTTTGAACATTTTCAGGGGAAAAGTTTATATTTAGACCTCATTAAATGTTTAACAATCTACACCATTAGGCTAATTATAAGGATGAATTCCTTAAATCCAGTAGGATTCTCTCTATATCCACCCCCACTGCTGGCCTCTCCACGTTATTACAGGTTACTGGTCAGCGTTCTCTTCCAAAAGCCCAACAACCTTGGCCTCATTACTTCTTCCTCGCAGCTAGCAATGTTTACTTTGACTTGAATTCCCAAGCGTAGAAAAATTTCAGGCACTATACTGACCCAGGTTAAAAAAACCTTGACGAACTCAGAAAGGATTACCCTGGGAAGTGTGAAGAAACCAAAAACCACAGAGCAAACTTGCAGTAGGTTTCGGTCTTGGGCTCACCGGCTCCAAAGAACGTCACTGATTCAACAACTCTCACAGGAACAATTTACTGTAGAAGTAAATGAATATATTCACTTTTATTCATTCCTATTATAATATGATGGAACATGAGCCCCTGAGTAAACTGAAAAAAAGTCACCCAAGGAATAAAATCAATTAAAGATGTACCGTACACTTACACTCAGGCCAACGTGGCAATCAATTCAGTGCTTTAAGCTAATTTCCCTCTTGATATTTTCAGATTTAATTCAGTAACACAAGTAATGCTTATTAATAATATTAATACACCATATTCTCTCTCTGTCAACTTAACCTTCTTGGGTTTTTTCTTTTTTTTTTTTTTACTAAAATGTCAAGCTAACTTCTAGACTCCTACCCAGGAGAATCTATGCAAAATTACAATGAACAGACTGATTGTGTAGACACAGTATTTAGCCATGGGCCCGATCATGAATGCCTGTAATTAAGTTCTTGTATATATTATAATAATTTTATTTGAAATGATGAGATTTGCACAATTTGCCTAATGTACACAAGTACCAGTCCAGGGACTACACTAAATTCTTTATGTTTTTTATCTTGTTTTATCTTTATAATGAGAAAAAAAAACAGCTTAGAGATTCAACAACTTAAGGTTGTACTACCAGCAAGTGACAGAGTAAAAATTTTATTTCAGTCATTGGGAGATCAGAAAACACTTCCCAATGAGCCTTCTCCACTGCTTTATACTGCAAAGGTATTTGAAGAACATTTGTGGTCATGCAGTGAGAAAGCAGTTAAGAGGGAAACACCTTTTCTGTAAGAAGCTGTCATACCACCAACCCCCAAAAAATCAGTTTTAATTTTTTTGTCTTTACTTAAAGACAGAGCAATAAAAATATCTTATGTCTCTAAATTTTATATTAAGAAAAGCAAACGTGAATTAGATTATGAATAATGAAAATTATATTTCAGTACATTGAATTAATGATTTCTCTATGGTTTTAGGTTTAGAAGGTAATAACATAAAAGTTCAAAAGAAGTGTACACATTCCCCAATTTCCTTTGTGTGCCTTAGGTAACCCCACTCTCATCTAGGGCTGATCAACACGCCCTGTAACTCGTGTCCGCAACGAGGGTTTCGGGGATGAGTGTGCAATCCCACCAGAGCCATCTGCTGTAATTTCCAGGGAAGAGGTCTTCCTGTGCGTGACATGGAGAAGGGGGATGGACAGATGGGAAACGCCACTGCCCCTCAGCTACCAGGGCAGCGCTGCATCTGCTGGGCATCCCTCCACGCAACCCGAGGGCAAGGCTGGCTTCTGCAGGTAGGACTACTTCTGACCCTTTCAGTTTAGGCACCTCATTAAGTTCCCTTTGTTAGTCAGGACATTTGTTTGGTTTCCTGCCCTCTGTGACCAAAGGTTCCTAATTAAAACAGGCAGTTGGATGTCAAGAAATATATTTTTAAAATAACACCTGTTCCCTCTCTGGTCTTCTGCCACTAAAACCACCTAAGAGAATCCACTGGAATGTACATATTTTAAAGCAGGTGGACCTTAAGAAATGTCAGTGTGGGAGCTAACGATGACAGCACAGGAAAACAGAGATGCTCCGTTTCAAAAAGTAGCAGCGTTGGTTAACAATTTTACAGCACTGTGCAGCTGAGAAACCTTAACTGACGAGTTCTGAGTCGAATTACCCCAGTTTTACTGAGCTGGCAATTCCGTCCTTCTGGATCAAGGATCCCCTTAAGAATCTGATGAAAGTTACGGATTCCTTTCACCAGAGATCTGAAAATATGCAAATAAACCCATTTCCCAGACAGTTTAAGGGACTGAAGAACTCCCCCACCTCAAGCCCAGAACAACAGATCCAAAGACCTCAAGGTAAAAACTCATAGTACCAAATGCTTGGGCAATTGGATAAACAGAAATGGAGCAGCCAGCCTCTTTCCGCTCAGTTGCTCAAAGAGATTATGCTCTGTGCAGGGGACACCCACACCCCCCCCAAAGAGGCCTGACAGATGCTCTCCTTCAAAGAGCCATTCTCAACCCCACTACACTGGGAAGGCTTCATTCACTCATCATGTAACGATTACAATAAAATAAGGCAGGAATCATAAAACACATGAAAAGAAACTTTTCATATTCTGTCATCAAAAATCAAATATGATTTTTTTGTTACTACTATATTTCCCTGTCCAATCGATTTTTAAGTTACTGGGAAAGCTTTATGTAAGCACATTAAAGTATTTGTAATTATGTCTATAAAACACAGGATAAAAAGCCCTTAGTATAATCTCCCTTTCTACACTATTCCATTGAGGAAATGAGCTTCAGTTCGTTTTCTCTGTGCTGCACACTTCTAGGGGGTAACTTGCTCTAAGAGAAGACAATCAGTACTCCATCTGAATCTCTCCCATTTAGCCCGTAGTAATTAATCACACTACAGAGTATATCTACAAACATCTCTAACATGACCAAGAAGCAGGTAAATTCAATCACTGATACATATCAGGAAACAGAGACATGAATAAAAATTAAATGCTTTAATCCAGGTTGTCATAGCTGAATAAAATTAAGAAAGTGGCACTTTTAAAAGTTCAGCATGTAAGGCCAAAGTGATTCCTATGTACAATAAATACATCTACACTTCAAAAAGCTACAAAGCAATTTATTACAATTATTATTTTATTATTCAAATAACTCCTCACTAATTGTGGACAAACAGAGAGACAAGTAAACCACCACGGTGCACAGCAGGAATTGCAGAAGACGGCTTTTCTGCACACACAGCCGACTCCTGGACAAAACCTGTTTGAACTGTACAGAGGGTTTTTTCTTATTCTCCTTATAAATTTTTTAATAACACTTCCTTTCCTCTAGCTTACTTTATTGAAGATCACAGTACATAATATATAACAAAATATGTTCATTGTTTATGTTATCGGAAAGGCTCCTAGACAACGGCAGGCTATTAGTACTTAAATCTGGTGGGAGTCAGAAGTTACACGTGAATTTTCAATCGTGCTGAGAGTTGGGTCCCAAAGCCCCGCGCTGCTCAAGGGTCGACTGCATGTGTGACTTAGTGACTAATACATACTCTCCTATTCCAGTTGCAGAGCAAAAGTCAGAAATCACAAACTTTTAAAAAGGCATGTGAAACACTGTAACCTTACTTGTTTTATAAAATAAAAAGTTCAGAAGGGAACCTTTCTCCATCCACGTCGAACTTTGTATGTGAGAGCGCACAAGCTTAATAAAACGAATCTCAGTGGCACACACAGCTCTATCAGAAGCTGGACAATTAACCTTACATTTAACCTATTCACGGCATTTATCGCTTTTAATTTTTCCAAGTTAAACCTTGAACCAGACCAGATGTCTTCTCAGTTCTGTCACAACAAGGCTGGGTCTGCTCGTTCACCACAGCTAATTTCTCTCTCATCAGGCAGGCGAGATCCTTCTCCCCTCCCTCTCTTCAATATAACCTCTTCCACTTCCAAATACAGTCAAGTCTGGCTGGGTAAAGATCCTGGGCCGGGCCGGGGCTTTGGAGGCTGCCTGGGAGGAATGAGGCCGGCCTCCAGAGTGGGCCAAGTGCCTGGGAAAAATGCAGTGCGGGAGCCAGGAGGAAGGCCACCTGAGAGAGGACGTGGTCACCGAGAAACGTGGGGGCAGACGGCATGGGAGTTCAGGAACGCCATCAGCATCAGGGAGAGACGGAAAAAGCCAAGACTGGTTCTCAACTTTTTGGATTCCCAACACATTTTCAAACACTGGAAATTCTGACGAGGGGACCTTTCTTAAAGCTGTATGTGCGCACGACTGAGGACAATATCCAGTTTCCGAAGGGAAACGCAGGGAGGAGCGGATGACAGCTACAATCGTAAGTGTTACAAGTGCTGCTGAGCGCCAGCTGTGCTCAGATAGCCTGCTTCTCAAATAGGTCACTCACTCCTCAGTATCTGATTTAGGACAGAATGTTTATTGCCAGGTACCAATCTCTGCTGTGCCCACGAGGTGGTTTTCCCACATTCCAGTAAACACTTGATCCTTCTTGGGGGCCAGGCTGAAGTCAAGTCTCCTCTCCCTCACTGCAAGGAAACTGAATCCCACTCTTACTCACAGACTCACTCCCAGCAGTCAGCAGGGCATGACTAATGACGTGGAGTGGAAATAAATACGACACTCGGATCCCAGCTCAGGGCCCCAGATTTAAGGTAACATGAAGGAAAGCTAAAGAAGGAAAGAGGACAGTTCATTTATTGCATCTGGGGACACAAGCTGACCACTCCCTGGGTCTGCCACAGGCAGGGGCAGGGAGCGCCACCCAGGGGAGGACTTCATTTCCAGAGCATGAGAGCAACTAGGAGGCGTTCACAAGAGTGAGAGGGGACCTGGAGAATAAAGAGACTGGGGTCCTAAGTGTGTTCTGAGACGGCAGTCTGGGCAACTTGGCGGAAAAAAGGGACAGGCCAAATTGCCAGAACTGAAACAGTCCCACAAGGTTAATGCTGAACTGATAACTAAATGCTGAATTTTAGAATCCTTCTTGCCTGGAGTCAGAAATGGCTCCAGAGACTGCTGTGGGACAAGCCAAGAAGTGGGAGTCCAGAAACAGGGGTGGGGTGGGGGAGGGGCCGGTCTGGGAAGGCTGGAATCCAGAGTCTAAAAGCCTGCTTTAACCCAAGCTGTGAAGATGACTAACGCGTAGTGGAAAGGCAAACTTGAGAAATCATGAGTCACCCTTCAAAGGAAACCATGGTCAGCGTCAGTAGTTTCTCTGGGAACGTGGGACTCATGTGCCTGAACAAATATTTTGGAATCTAACATCCTGCACCAACACGGAGGTGCTCCTTCCTTCGGGACGGGTCCTTGTCACTCTTCTCTGTCCTCAGAGCTTTTTGGTTTCCATATAAGGCTAATAACAAATATCTGTCTAGAATGTTTTTACCAGTGAAAACCAGCTATGAGAGCTGACCTTTTGGGAAAAATGAATCACTCCACGTGAACTCCTCACACTGAGGGAAGGCACCCACAAACCATCCACTCTGCCCTGGTCTCACACACACCAGAGACATCGTCGGCGGACTGACGCGCAGAGTGGACGTGCAGCTTGGGTTCACAATCACGGCTGGGCAATTAAAATCTGAATCACGGGTGAAGGGAGATGAGTCCACTTCTCCCACACGGCTTTCGACTTAAGAAAACATTGGCTAACTTCCTATTATAGGCAAGGCATTGTGCAAGCTGCCAAAAGGGATTACAAAAACAACCAAGACCAAAAGAATACTTGGCTTTAGGGTAAAAATAGCATTGAAAGGTTAACTATTTATTTATGAGAGATGTGATACTTCAAAATAGTTTTCCAGATATTCTTACAGATAAAATAGCCTGAACTACTAGACATAATCACATCAACACGGATGGATCTCCAAAAATATCATACTACAGGAGACACACAAAAGACGACATTTTATGACTCCATTTACATGAAGTTCAAGAACAGGCCAAACCAATGAACGAGAGTGGAAGTCGTTCTGTGGCGTGTGGACTGGGAGGAGGAGGCCTGGCTGGAGAGGCCAGTGCGAGCGTCTTCTACCTTGTCTGGGAGGCAGTCGTGCAACTGTCAAACTTACCCAACTGAACTGACTATTTCATGTGAATATGACCTTTTTCGCATAATCAATAAAATATTAAAAAAAATAAAATATGACTTTAAATAGTAAAATATACCACTGGACTAAAAATATTACTAGGAATAGAGTGTTCAGATAAAATCATGGCAAAAGGCTAATGGTGGTATATTGTATACTTGATCCCAACAGCATTTATAAAGAAAATATTTCCAATCTGGGAGGAATCTAATGTAATGGCTATGACAAGAAGTTTAATAATATAGTCATATTGCCTAATAGATTTCAGTAATGTATCAAAGACCCTCACATGGAAAAATGCCGGGACTTTAAAATAGTAATGAAACCAGAATTTGCATCCATTTCCTTCTGCCCTATCAGCTGAAAACAAAACAAGTTTTAATCTGCATCCTCTGCATCACTCTGTTCCTAGGGCACCTCTGGCTATTCACAGGGCAGGGATTCCAGAGGCCTGTCCAGGGCACCAGGGCCGCCCCAGCCCCTTCCTCCACGAGGGACGTGTTCTGAGACCCCCAGTGGATGCCTGAAACCAGAGACAGCTCTGAGCCTACGCACTCGTACACCATATTCTCCTTGCATACACATGTCTGTCAGAGTCTAATTTATAAGTTAGGCTCATATGAGATTAACAACAATAACTAATAAAATTTAAAAAGTATAACAATGCACTGTCATAAAAAGTGTGTGTATGCTGTCTCTCTCTCTCTCTCTCTCTGATAACCGAGATGGCTAGTGAATGACTGAAAAGCAGGGAGCATATACATACAGCAGGGAGACTTGGGACAAAGGGGTGATTCCCGTCCTGGGTGCGATGGAGCGAGATAGCACGCTACTCAGCAGGGCACACAACTTAAAACTGATGAATTGTTTCTTTCTGGAATTTTCCATTTAATATTTTTAGACCATGGCTGATGGTGAGTAACTAAAAACATGGGAAGCAAAACTGCAGATAAGGGGAGGAGGGGTGATAACTTAATAGTAGGATTTATCAAAGGGAGCATCCTTGATGGGGCGTTATCAGAGCCCCTGTGGGGCTTTTCCACCCTCATGCAAATTCTGATTCATGCCTCAGGGGCTTGGTTATGAGTCCCAGCCAAAGTCAGTCACTTCCAGACAGGAATGAGTCACATCCCTCCTCAGCTAGCATGACAGGAAGACTAGGAATGGGCTCCTCGCCAGGTCCCTGCCCCTTTCAAGTTATGGGGAGGGCAGCTGCAGTGCAGGCACAGGTGTACCTGCTCCACTCCTCTCTCCTCCTCCTCTGTCAACTCAAGGACACTGCACAGATTGCTTAGGCCCAGCCTCTCAGCTCCTTCTCCTTTAACTTTAAGGGAGAAGACTGTGCTAAACTGAGCTACAAAGGAAAAAAGGGCACTGGGAGTGACCTACCAAGTGCTGGTCCTTCCCAACCCAGTACTAATGTTTTAGCCCATCTAGCAAGAAATAAAGGGGCACAAGACCACACAGCAACAATGCCACTTGCTCACCTTCACAAGGTGCATTGACAGCTGTAGAAATTAATACAAGCAAAGCCCCCCATGGAGGAGTCCCCCAGTACAGCTGGACGTGTAGGCCTGAAAACATTTGTGGTTTTTACACACTAATCGAATGTACACCTTGAGCCTTCTCACAGACCTGCTTTTTCAAGAGTCTGAGGCCATGCTATTTTTAGAATTATGAAAATAACAGCTGCACTTGTTAGCCATCCTCTGGTGAAAGCCCATCCTGGCATTGGATACACCCAAGTTCCATTCTCAGCAGTGCTATCCTCCTGGTTCAAGTCTCTTTTTTTTCACAACCTTTAAATACAATCTGTTACCATGTTTGTGTTCCCTACCAGTCTGCCCACCCTCAAAGGCAGAGGCTGTTTCTGTCTCACGGACTGCTCAACCCCTAGTGCCGAGCACAATGCCTGGCACATGGAAGATGCTGAGTAGACACTGGAAAATTGAATGGATTCCTGCGTGAATTTTTGGGTCACTTATTAGCATACAAGCTCCAATGAAGATGAGATCCTCTACGCTTGGTTTTGCATCCTCAGACCTTAAATGACCCATAGGAGGTCTTCTTCAGTAAATGCTTACTGAATTAGCAAATATTGTGAGACGAGAAAAACCCAGGGCTCTGAACTAAATTGAATCTCTATGCACATGACTTTTCAAAAGGGCAACAGACCTGATTTATGAAGGCCACTGCTAGCAAATTCCACAGTCAGCTTTCCAAGGGGTGTTTCTGTGTGTGCCAAACAAGTTAAGATTGTGATTGAATGCTTCGAAATAAGTATTTCAGAGGGTAAAGCAAGCCACCAGCCACAGTTTAGGGAACTGTAACTCTCAGGAAAACCATGATTACCACGTTGCCCAAAACCATTTGCTGTGTTGCTCACCTTTACAGTGGATGACCAGGCCTGTTAGAAATGTTCATGTCTCCTTTATGTTTCGTAAGCTGCAATGTGGTAGAAGCATGTGCCCAGTGGGCACTAAATACTATTTAATTTTAAACGGAGGCAGCAGATGTGACACAGTCTGGCCGGCAAGCTTCTCAATGGTGTGTAGGCTGAAACCCATGGATGGCAAGAACTGCAAGTCTAAGTGCAGTAACTGGAGAATGGAATTTTGGCTTTTACTGAAAAGTCTCTTCAATGAAAGGTTAAATATAGAGCAATGTCTTGAGGTCTACCTGATTTGGGGATAAAGCCCACCTCCTTCCCCCCGTCTTACTGTCACCTACCCAATGGGAAGAGTGACTTTTCTAGGGTCTGCTGCTCCCGAGAAGGGCCTGGCAGGGTCGAGTTTAAGCAACTGGATGGAGGCTGAATCACCCCCAAGCTTCAAACACACAAAATGAGAAATGTTATTTCACACACCTTTTGTACAAATCAGGCAGAGATTATGTTGTTTTTATACCACTAAATTCAAAACAATTCAAACCGTAGTGATGTTTTGTGTGTTCATGTTTCAGTTCCATCATTTTTCTCTGTAACACAGTCGTCTCTTTGAACGGAGATTTTGCTTGACTTCAAACTTTTAGATAATATTCAATGAGCAAATTTTATTCTTGTAAACAAACTGGACATCTGAAAATGTTTCTGTTTAAAATAACTGCCCGTTCAAATGACAAGTAAAAGATACATGTTTAAAAACTACATATTTTACTAAAAATGTACATGATCAATACGAAAAATATACTACTCTTCAGACTTTAACATAAGATACTTTTTTACCTTTCTTCTAAAAGTTCAAAGGGATGGTACAATTCTACTGTAAAATGAATCCACGGGAAAGTCCAATTTAATTATTGGGTTTTCATTTCTCCGTTTTGGTTGTTTTGATGACTGCGACTACTTATTCGTCGGTAGATTCTGTGCCAGGAATTGTCCCTCATCCTTTCATATATTAACACATTAAACTTAGAACAACCCTATAACATATCATTACCCCTTCTGTAGTTCCGTATTACCCCTACTACATTTTTTGATATGAAAAATAATCCAAAGTTACAATAACCTGCCCAAGGGTTGGTCCACATCCAAAGTCCTATCTTTCCAAGCACATACCACATAGCTGTTCGATATCAGTATCTTTCATTCACTCACTCAACACGGATTTATTGATCACCTTCTACATGCCAGGTGAGGTGATAGCTCGCCTCAGATGCTCAGTTTAATAAAAAAAGAAACAAATTACAATGAGCTGTATAAATGAAAGATCTAGCTGTGGAAGAAAGGAAAACTTTCTAAAAGAGAACAGCCCCGGTAAGTCCGGCCCTGGCTGACACGGCTCGGCTGGCAGGAGCACCATCCCCTCATAAGCAGAGAGTTACAGGTTTGACTGCCGGTCGAGGCACACACACAGGTGGCGGGTTTGGTCCCTGGCCCAGGTGTGTACAATCCCTGGCCCAGGCACATACAGGAGGCAACCAACGGATGCTTCTCTCTCGCATTGATGTTTCTCTCTCTCTCTCCCTTCCTCTCTCTAAAAGAGCAATGAAAAAAATGTCCTCGGGTGAGGACAAATTTTTTTTTAAAAGGTAAGTCTCAGTTAAGACACAGGTAAAAACAGCTACTCATAATATTAACAACATTAGCTCATAATTACCGTAATTGTATCAGGCATATAATCCTGCAAAGTAAGAGTTTTAAAAATTACATTACTTTTGATACACTCACCCTTGAAGTAGGTTCTAATATTAGCTGCATTTTACCAAGAAAGGAAAGTCACATTAATCGTTCAAGGTCACACAGCTAGTGACTGAGTTTCAAGAGGGCTGGTCTCTGTCTCTGAAGAACCGGGCTAAGTGTCTGATGAAAACACTTGGGACAGAGGAAGGATAAAGGACTCTGAGAATGATGGGCAAGTGAAGGGCAGGAAAAGGAGCTGGTGTGGGACAAATAAAAAGGACCACAGGCCAGCAGAGGGGCCCCCTTCTTCTGCACCAGTCAGCCACAGCACCCCAGGATGCTGGCCCACACCCCTGGCCAAGTCCAGGCGAAACCGTCTGTACCAGGTGGCAGAGATCGTCTTCAACACAGGGAGGAGCCATCCTTTTCAAAGCGCTGCTAATCAAACTCAGGTTTTCATTCGCAAATCCCAACCTTAAGATCCGGTTCACCTGATCCCCAGTACCTACACTAGACCCCCTCAGGAAGAGAGACGAAGGACCCAGTTTCTCCTTCACCTCTCCAGACCCAAGTGTAGGCAGGCACATTCCCAAAGCCTCCACAGCCCTCTGAGAGTGGAGTTTGGGTGTGCAGGGTAATGAGGTCGCTGAGAAGGTCCTCTCTTAGAGATCCAGGATAATCTCCAATTCTGAAGACATTTAGAGAACGAGGTGCCAAAACCGAGCTGCCAGCATTCGCAACGGTCAAAAACTGGGCAGGGGCTGGTGGGAAGGACATCCGAGTCAAATGGGTTTTCACAGCCGGTCAGCGATCACTCCCCTCACCTGCCCTGGGACTGCCTCCCCTCGGGTGAATGGTGAACTCTGAGTGATCCCCCAGAGTGATCATGCTTCCACAACCCAGCAGCGACTGTGGAGTCATGAACAACCCAGAGCACTGTCAGTACCATCATTACTCTCCCCCTCCTCTGTGCTCCTGTCATATTCTAAAGGCTCAATTTGTAATAAAAGCTATTTACTGCTTACCTGTCTCCTTGCTCACTTCTTGCGCATACACTGCTACAGTGACACACACACACACACACACACACACACACACACACACGAGCACACAGACTGTTTACAATGGCCTGGCAGCAACTGAAAGAATGTGAATTACAGTCCTTGCATTCATGAGCCATTTATTGGAGGGGCCAACTAAGTGTCGACCCCAGGACCTTTTGCTAAGGTTTCCTGAGATTCCCCTGAAATGGGTTTTCTGGAATTTGGAGAGCTCAGTCAGTGTGAAGATCTGTGGTAGTTTAGGAAAAAATGCACACACAGCAATGATCTCTTTGCAGAAATGACATGCTGTTCTCCAACTCCTTTCTCTCTAAATGCACGTGTCTGCAGCACAGCTGCTGCCGTGACCCCCCCACCCTGAGTTCCCGCACTCGGTGTGACATATAGCAACACCACAGGGCAGGGGAAGGACTTAGAGCCCTCTGAGGTGCAGAGGAGCCGTTCCCACGACTGCTTTTAACTTTTATGTACTGACTTTGGGGG